CGTACTATATCATTCAATTTGCACTCAGCAAGAGTCTCTGCAGAGTTGAGTCGATCCATGTAGACAGATCAATGGAATGGGGTGAAAGATAAACATGGATTTTTGTTCAGTGTCATAATATATTTCACCATCATGAGAGTGCACTGTTACCTTAAAACGATACCATTTAGTACAATAAAAGAGATCACCAAGATTATACCAATAAAGGAAATAAAAAATTATGACAGTCTCACTGGAGTAACTTTATACAATTTCTGGCTGCTTCTTTTACTTAATTAAATTTAAAACCATTCTGTTGACTCAAGGGCTATCAGGTTTCATCTTATCCAATGAGTCGCACCGTGCATGATTCAATTTTTTTCTCATGACATTTGATATAACTAATCATTTCAGATAAAACTCTACAGAGGAGGATGATACCAGGAAAAGATGCTGATCAGCACAGCCCTTTGCTCTTCAATGACATCTGTATCTCTCAAAGGCAACTCAATCTCTGAACCACATGCAATAATTATCTTCAGATTTCGTTTCAGTTCATTCAACAATTGGCCGACAAATCATGTCAACTGTGTGTTTCTTCCAATAGTCTAAAAATATCCGTCATTTATCTACTTCCATACTTAAGCAAGAAATACATTTCATTTTCAGCGTCTTTCACACATTTTCAAATTCTTTGTTCAGGTGGCACCAATTTTGGTTTTCAATATTTGCCCCTTTGGGTTTCTTAATTGTGTGCCCCTATTCTTGTTAAATTTTGCACACTACATATGATAAATTATTACATATTGTATCTATATTTAAATACTAACTTGTACACTACTTAAACATCCATGACAATATCACACCCAAAAAGTACTCTACAAAAAATTTGTAAATATTACATAGTGATATGCCACAAGCCTATGCTATCCATGCTACTGCTGCCTGATGAAGTCTTTCCTGTGCCAGATAATGAAACTAATGGATTCATGATAAAAATCAATAAGTTTGCAGGTTTGTCAGTGTGAAGTAGAATATGCAAGATACTTACATGTGGAGCACAGCTCCAAAGGAAGGGAGGTTTCGTTTCCCTGAAATACATGAAAGCAATAATTAATTACATTTCACAAGAAAGATAATGCCTTTTTTAAAATGTCATTGTGCTCATGTTTACAAAACAAACCCTTAAGTATATTTGGAGGTAATAATGCTCAATGTATAGACAGCTAATTCAACATGAACCCTTGCATGTTGTTACTAAAATAATAAATATAAAGAACAAATTACCTTCTGAGCATCGCTTAACTACACTTTTGGTATTTAAAAACAATATTTACTAGTGGGAGGATATCATTAGTAATTCTTTTCTATTTTTTTGTGGGAAAGCAACATAATCTAGCAATTACCAGTGACTTATAATGCATACAAGATTTGCATTGAGTACACAAAGCATAACCTTAGTTAATGCAAATCCCAATATATCTACATGACAATATAGTATTGACAAAGCGTAATGGGTTGCTCTTACACTTCTCAATTCTAATGTGCCTGGGCAAATCTATATCCATGATATACTAGACCAGGTCATTGTTGTGAAATTATTGCACCAATTAACAAGCATTAAGTCTTTGATGAACATTTTATATTTTATAACAGTTTAAACATTGGTCAATTCTAGTCAGAGAAGTACATCTCCTGAATAGCCTCATTCCCTGCTGAAGATGCTCTGTTAGACATCGAAATATTGGAGGTAAACTATTTCAATATTAAGCTGTTGATTGAAGAAAAAATTATTGGTTTATTCTAATAATTCTTGGTTCATTCTAAGCTTTACACACTATTTCAATAGATGAGTTGTTCCGAAGGTGATCAATGTAATAGATATCTAGATTAAAGCCATAATATACAATCAAAATGAATACTGTATTTATGCATTGTTTTTTTTCATTTGGTTTGCCATGGCTATTGATGAAATTTACTTATCACATTTTCAAAGTTTATTGAGACCTTTACTGTGAAATAAGATATTAGGAGTAAAATTGACAAACCACAATTCTCCAATTCTTTCAAGAATTCAGATAATATTATGTATAGTGTATTAAATCTCATGTACATACTGTATCACACTTAAACACCTAATGTCAAATACAATTTTCCTTTCAAACCTGATAACAATGAGGTATTGATTTCTTTGACCCCCTGATCACATGTACAAATATGTGATTTTTTTCTGTATAAATAAACATGAAGTCATGAGAAAATTATTTATTTGACCATCTATCATGTAGATAAACCCAAGATGAAGAGTGACTTTTTTTGGTTTGGTTACAGACATTTACAAATAGAGCATCACACATCTTTAAGTCTCATATATTAACTATAAAATTTTTACTATATGTGCATCTTTCTGACTACAAATATTACATTTAAGATAAAGGGGAGCACTGACTAGCACTTTCTTTATTCACCTGCTCATGTTATTTTAACTTAGATATAAGTCATTTCATAACTGTGTCTTTTTACCCAATGCATCTTTTTAATATGTCTGGCACAAATATGGTTAATTTAGAAGAGGTAACAGAAAACACCTGATTTCATACAATTAATTATGGCACTAAATTTGTTCAATGGTTTAACACTTAGCTGTGCAGTATAGTTGATATGACAGCCCACGTACAAATTCACACATTATACTACCTGGGTTAGTCCAACGCTGCCAGGGATTCTTGCTAAAGTGCAATCAATGGAATAAGCTTAATTGTCTAACATGCCTCTTCGAGCAGCTAGGGGGTAATTAACTATTGTGTGCTAATTACGCTGATTTCACTGATTGCATTTTAGCGAGAATCTCCTGCAGAATTGGACTAGCCCAGCTAATACAGTGTGGGAATCTGAATGCACCAATAGTACTTCTAAAGAGTCAATTTAGTTTTAAAAAAATATTCAGTCTAAGGCCAATCGTGACTTGTTGTAAAACCTATATGAGATTAGTGAGTTAAGAGGCTGACACAGTGAAAGTTGGGCATGATTACAAAATGATTGAGAACCAGGTACATTCAAGCATCTGCTTCCTGGAGGTAAGACTAAACATCTTTTGTCAAAATGGATCCGAATGTGACTTTGGTTGGCAAAGCAGTAAAACTACACAACATGTTATTAAGGTGGAGTCCTTAAAAGCCGTTACTACTCAATTACTGTATATCAATATTGCCTGACCATTTTCTGTTCTTACATCTGTCACATTTATAAATCATGATCATTTATTCCTTGACGTTTATGTTTGTGAATACAATTCAGTTTCAAAACTGGATCAATTTATGACATTGGCAACAGGGCTGAATATGAAATTAATATAGCTTAAACAAAATACATTGTACAAATTCCAGCTAAGAACACTACATTGTAATTTGTATCTATGGAAATAGCCTACGGAATCCATCTTTATTATATCATACAAATTCCATTCAGCTTAATGTTAAGAGGGCTAGAACGGAGTTATATATAAATTTTATTTCTCCATTACAACGCCTTTCTAAAATATATCTTACTATTTCACGTGCACTACCTATCACAACTTTCAAACGAATGCCTACAACTGAGGATCTGATCAAACACTGATCGACTAGTTCATGACAGTTACTGCTGACTACAGTTCGAGTAGCCTCAAGTCATATTAAAATAAGAAACCTTTGGTTCCATTCAGGGTTGGGAAAATCTGATATGGTTTAGAAATGAAAATACGGATCTTCATTATTGCGCTTATCACGTGTTTGAATCTTAACTTACCATAATTTGCCTTCCTTTTCTCGGAGTTGTTTTGCGATCTGACCTATTCTCCAAGATCCGGGTAACTTAGCCCTGGCTCTGTATATTGGTTTTCTGACTTCCGGTGCTGAATGCAACGCAACTTCCTCTTTAGACCGGTGCAATGGCGGCTGGTGTGAGTATTGTGGACATCTGAAAGAAATCCCATATTATCGTTCACATCGTACTTGTCATGGCTTCAAAAAATCTTAAGTTCTGTGACCCTTGCTATCAGAATGATGTCATGTGAAAATTTCTCTTAATCTTTGCTTTACAGACTCTGTATACATACCCCGAAAACTTTCGGGCACAAAAGATCCTTATTGCAGCCAAGTACAGTGGTACACAAGTCACCGTGGCAAATGATTTCAAGTTAGGGGAGAGTAACAAAAATGAAGCATTTTTGAAGAAATTCCCATTAGGCAAAGTAAGTATCTTTTATCTTGTCAGTGTGCGCGTGTGACAACAGTAATGATTTTAACCCTCAGGTACGATAATGTAACGTTATAGTAAGTCAGTTATAACCAATGTTCTGGGGTGGGGCGGGTAGAAATGTATCAATATAAACAATGTGTTAGAACTAGTATTCACCTCTTGTCATATGTGCTAATGCATGAACGTATTCATAAAGTATTTATAGGTATATATAAAGTGGCGTTAAGCAAGTGAATCGGCTTAGTTTTGGAGGGTCCAGGGTTCTCCCCAGGCCTTTATAGCGTATCGGCCCCGATACGCTATTTTTTTGCCGATACGCTTCTTTTTTTGCCGATTATACCCTTTAAGAGTGTGTGTGTGACCAATGCCTTTAATGCCTTTATTCCTGACAGTCGCGACGTAAACCGTAAAATAGAAACGACTGTGTGCGTATTTGGATCTCTTGTGTGCGCGTTAAGTTGTTTATTTTTGTTCTGCCTGGCGCAGTAATACAAGTATAACATCTCATGTTGAGGGCGCGGGACCTGCGTACTGACAAGTTTCGTATATCAACATCCGCTTATTAGTTTCGTCATCAATGTAATTCTGTGAGATTTGTTTGCTTTATCTATATTTTTGGAGAAATATAATAAATAGTCAATCCTTCATGTTATTTTGACTGAAGAATAGTAGCAGTCGTGATCATTTATAAATAAATGTATCCATGCGGCAAGAGAAAATGTCAGAAAAGATGCAACGCTATTTAATACATTAGCGCCTGTCCGGGACAGGTAAAAATTCAGCTCGGACAGGTGAAGTTGCAGGGTTGACTGTCCGACAGACAGGTCATGGTTTATGAGAAATTTGGAGCAAAAATCTTTTAAAAAATCATTTTTAATGCATACTAACGTCTTTTTGTCTC